TGATGTTTATATCTGAGAATAACAGGCAAGTGGGTCTCAGAGATGCATGAGAATGTAGAAGTCACTGTCAGGCAGCATGCTCTTGTCCCTAATCTGGCCGGCTGCTCTGTGAGGGGCAGGTCCCCAGGACATGCACCCTCTGGTGTTAACCTTGTCTCTTAACTGACAAGACAGGTATAGCTTACAAATTGTGGATCTGTAAACACCTGGGACCTTGCTGACTGAGCACCATCCACCAAGGACACATAGCTTGCATTGGTCTCTCTCCTTTCCAGGGGAATCATATGAAGTTTGTTTTTCTCTACTGTGCAAGAGTCCGAGGTTGAAAATAGCATCTGGCTGATGCTCTCAGGGAATCCTGATATCACTCCCTCTTGGCTTATCCTTTCTGTCAACAGTCTCCAGGTCCTGTTGAGTATACAAGCCACCTGCTCCAACCCTGGTCATAACATGACCTCTAGCAGAGCCCTGTGTGGTCTCTCTTGAGCTCTGCTTCAGAAGGTTAAGCCAGCAGCCAGCACCATGTCATACCCAATGTTGTTTGGTCCTGGACTCAGTCTTTAACATTTCCAGATGGAACCCTGAGGTGACTTACCTACTGTGACTATAGAGAGCTCATGCATCCATTCCTGAATCACACCATTGCCCTCAGGAGACCCCTTCCACCCCAGACTCAGCTCTGACTGCCTATCTACCTGTACAGGTCTAGTGACTTCGGGGGACACCACGACTCCCAGAAAGGCACTCATCTCTGCAACTGTCTTCATTGCTTTCCTGTATACCTTCCTGGCCCTCAGTTCTAACTTGGTGGCTGACACCTTTTCCTTTCCCAGGCTTGTCTCTGCACTAGCCTTCCTTAGGGGTCCTCTATCCCACTGGTCTTTGTCCTCTACACTGTTTTACCTACTGTGTAGCTGAGGCATGAGGGAAGGAACCCACAAAGTCCTGAGTGGGAGTCGGAAACATCACACTGGACAGTGTCTGGGCTCAGCGCAGCTGGAAACTGACATGTGACAGCAGAGTGCCCGTCAATGAAGATGCCATTCTCCCGATGTCCCTAAGCATCCGACATGCCAGCTTTAAGTTCTATTTTAATTTGTTTGTATGCAAACAAAATTTTAAAATGGAATTGTGAGCTGGGTATGATGCTTCTCACGTAACCCTATCTTGTGTCAAGTTGACAGAAAAACAAAACAAAAAGCCAACTTAGCAGCACAAGTGACTCCTTGTCAACTTGACATACAAACTCATCACTCATTAAACCACAACCTTTCCTTCCTGATTTATCCCTAATATTTCATAACAATATCACAACCCAAAACACATAACAGCTCTTGAAAACCCCACAGTCTCCAAAAATTCAAACAATTAAAAAAAAAAAAAAGAGTCTCTCAACCTTGGTGCCTGTGAAATCAGAAACAAGTTAGACAAGTGCTTCCTCCTAGAGGAAGGGATGGCAGCAGAGGCCAACCAAAGCCCAGCAAAAGCAAGGCCCACGGGGTAAGAAGCTCAGCGTTCCACATCTGGAATCCACTCAGGATCCTCTGGGCCTAAAGGGCCTGGGCAGCCCTGCTTCTCTGGCTCTGCATCCACAGCACACACAGTCTGTCTCCTAGACTCCTTAATCACAGCTTAGCTCCCTCTCGCCAGTAGCAAGTAACTGTCCCAGGAAACCAGAGGTTTCACTTTAATGATTGTGGACTCTTGTTAATCACAGCAAATTCTGCAGCCGCCAGTTGACTAGAACCATAGATGATTAACCCAAACTATTTTAGCAGCCCCAGTAGAGTGTTGAAGGGCCTCTCACACTTCCCTGTGAAACTTCGGAAATCAGTCCCCAATTGTCTGCACAGCATCTGCATTGTTCCCACAGTAACCCACGGAACCCAAAGGGAGTGGCACTGTTAGGAGGTGTGGCCTTTTTGGGAGAAGTGTGTCACTGGGAGGACAGGCTTTGAGTTCTCTTTTTCTCAAGCTTCTCTCAGTGTGAACAGTCAGTTGATTTCCTGTTGCCTGCAGGATGTAGTAGTCTCAGTTACAGCACCACATCTGCCTGTACACGGCAATGCTCCCCACCATGATGATAATTGACTGAACTTCTGAAACTATAAGAGAGCCACACCAATTAAGTGTTCTCTTTATGAGAATTGCCATGGTCATGGTGTCTCTTCACAGCAACAAAAACCCAAACTAAGACAAGCTTTGAACACTCAATGTCTTTTCTAGCCCAAAATACCAAAATCCTTCTACAAGTCCTTCTAAACACATGGTCAGATCTCTCACAGCAATATCCCACAAATGTAGTACCAATTTCTGCCACAGCTAGGTTTCTATTAATGTGATAAAATGCCATGACCAGAAGCAACCTGGGGACGAAAGAGTTTATTTGGCTTCTACTTCCACAACACAGTCTACCACAGTAGGTTGTCAGGACAGGAACTAAAGCAGGAACCCAGCGGTGAGAACTGAATTTTGTTTACTGACTTGATGAGACTGGCTTCCCCACACTGCTATCATCTATAATCCAGGGCCACCAACCCAAGGGTGACACTTCCTACAGTGAGCTGGGCCCTTCCACATCAATCACTAATCAAGTTGTCCTACAGACTTGCCCAGAGACCATCTGGGGGGGGGCATCTCTCCAACCGAGGTTCTTCTTCCAAATAACTCTTACCTTCTGTCAAGTCAACAAAAACCTGAAGACAGAGCTTTCTGTCCCACCTTGTCTCACAGCCCCTTTGCCCCAAATAAACACATGGACGCTATATTAAGTATAAAATTGTTGGCTGTTGGTGGGGCTCCCTGAACATCTGCTTCTCTTCAGAGGTTAACAGTGCTGCACAGGCACAGGCTTACTCCCCTTCCTCCAGACCCCCAGGAAGCCCACATGTTCCTAAACCTGTGACCTCTACCCATTACCCCACTTTGAGCAGGAACCTTTCGAGAAGCTGAAAATAAGCAATCATTACACGCCCCCCCCCGCCACATGCACACCACTTCTTTGTTCCCAAAGCTTCCAGCACTGTCTGCTGCCTCTCATACTCATAATGACCAGTGGGATTCTATCCCTGAACAGCAGGGTAGGGCGTCAGAACAGTGAACTTAGGTTTACCATGTGTGCAAACACGTGGTTATGACTAGAAAGATGGAAACAGAGGGGAGGAGACATTGGCACACTGTGCTCATGTCGTTCTGTGCTCGGCAGCTCAACTATCGAGACAATGAAGTGGCCCTTGATGTATGAGCTGAGGAGCACAAAATAGCCCAGACACTGTGGGATATTACTCAGCTCTAAATGTGAAATCCTGCCACGTGTTACAACACAGCACAATCTTGAAGACATTATGCTGAGTGAAACAAGCCAGTTGCTTAAAGACAAACAGTACGATTCCACACATCAAAGTTCCCAAGTGTAGACAAATTCATAGAAACAGAAAATAGGATGGTGGGTCATGGGGCTGCTGAATGGGAACATAGTTTCAGTTTGGGACAAGTGGTAAGCTCTGGACACATAGGTAGTAGTTGCATACTGAGAGTGTACCATGCCCTAAACTCTACAACAACAACGGGAATTAATGGGAATAGTGAACCTCTTCCATCTCTGGCATCACAAAGTATTTCCTAAACAGGCAGCCCAACCTGTGCAACACTCTCTGTGTGACGACAACTCCAGCTTCAGCCCTCAGCATTGCTCTCTGTGATTGTGGGGTAAGTTAACCCTCTTCAGCCAAGACAAGAACTGGCTCCTGGCGTCCCTGAGATCCACTTCCTGTTTGAACCTTGGTTTCTTGATGTTCTGTATCCATACCTGTCCCTGGAGGCCAATGCACCAAGCCACAAGCTCCTGCTGCCTGGAAAGCTGGCCCATGGGGGAAAATCCCCATCTATTTTAGTTGTCACAGGGAAAAGGGGGAATTGCTGCCACAATTGCCACTTCTGGTCTCAGTGAGAAAAGCTCTGTATCTGATGCTCTTCTGGCAGGTTCTAGAGACCCCTCCCATTGTGAGTTCCCATGCCGTTGCAGACTTCGACACCCATTCTATCACAGTTCATGAAGAGTGGGCTCCCTGAGTATCCGGTATCACTTATGTCAACCAGACAAGCAACACAGTCCTTATATGTGGTGGTCTGAAGAAAACTAAGAAAAATTCCTATTGAAGTATTAGCCAAGATTGGGTATGATGTCTCAAATCTGTAAATCCCAGCACTCTGGAGCTAGTGGTAGGAATGCTACAAGCTGGAGGCCAGCCTGGACCATAGTATAAATCCTGTTTCAAACAGACAAGTTGGGACTGCCTCCATGATATATCTGGGTAGTGTCACAGTCTGGAGTCATTCAGGGAACACGTGAGCCTGCAAGTCTGCAAGCAGAGCATGAAATAGGACAGAGAGCCCAGAGCCACATGGGGTTTTTTTCAAGTTTGATGTTGGATTTACTCAACTTTCCCCATCTCTGACAGTGGTGCCCTGATGAGTGAAAGGAGAACTCCCTGTCAATTGGCCAACCATCCAAAGTGGCGCCAGCCCATTGTGCCTGGAGTGACATCAAATGATATTCCCACATGAGTCTGACCTGAGCACTCAGGCAGGAGGGAGAAAGAGTTACTCTTGTTCTCCAAGAGAGAAAGGACCTGCTGAGTCAGCATCTGCCCTAGACTATGCTGTGCTGGCCCAAGGGCATCAACTCCTTCCAGTGAAGAGTGGAACAGCTGGCTTCCTCAGAGCAAAGGAGGGCAGGTTCCAGCCTAGGGTCAGCGTGTGTGGGAAGTTCTGCACGTGGCCTCTGCATTCTTAACAACACAAGGGTCCTTTCCTCATGAGGGATTCACAAGTTGTTTACTATTGCAAAAGCATCAGCATGGCTTCTTGCTTCTCACGGGTACCATCTCCCAGGCCAGACGTGCTTAACAAGTTTAGCTGAGTTTCCCCGTGATGGGGTATGACAAGGTGAATGGGACTCTGAGAGGTCTTTGTCACCCCTGCCAGCAGCTTTACTTTACCTATGTCTTCTTCTGCTGGTCCCGGGAAGCTGAGGCCCGGCTGGGCCAAGTCTCCTCCTTCTTCCTCTGCAAGACACAAGCAAAGACATGCTTACTATTTTTCTGCTGAAGGTGCAGTCATTCCCCATGCTGGAGACCCTTGACAGTCAGCGTGGTTCACACACAGAGACACTTCCAATATTACTACTCAGAACTGAGTGTTTTGTACTGACAATTTCAGAGCAATTGTCACTTTCTGCAATAGCCTCAAGTTCCCACATGTGCCCAATTCCTCTTTGAGGTCCCTGCACAGACAGCTTTTACAAACACACCTTAGTTTCCCTGTATAACTTTGGGTGTATTTGATCTTGTTAGTATTGGTACAGGCTATTGAAATTTCCAGACCATTTTTGACCTGGTTTCCTTGAACCAGTCAAATCCTAAGGAGTCTGAGTCATCTACAAAGAGAACCCCCTAATCTAGTGATTGCAGTTATATGCATGGCATTCTTCCATGCTCAGATCCTGCAGTGGCTGCTCTAATGTTTCCTGTAAGTTCATTCTGGGTGGGTTTTGCTGGCCCAGCCCCCTCCACTTACTTTTGGTTGCCTTCTCTAGCTGGTGCAGCAGAGACACTGCTGCACTAGGAAGGATTACCACCGATCATGACACCAGTGTCACGTCAACTCTGTCCTGCAGATATGGGGATACTGGATGGGAAGGTGAATAGGATCTGTGTTCTTATCCAATCCGTCCACAAGGAGCCGGGCTGGGTGTCTGGACCCCACCTTCGTGTCTCACAGAACCCCAGGGTGTGTTTTCAGAAGCTGCCGCAAGCCCATATGTGCTGAGTTCAGTGCCTGGCTGTCCTGAACTGATATGTGATCAGCAATGTGCCATGCTCATCTGAACATGAAGATGCAGCCCAGACAGAGGATCTTCTGTACCACATTGCACACAGGTGACTGTCTCTACACACATGGGGTGCATATCAAAATTATGCCATCCATCACTACACACAGAAGCATCCACCAACATGTCACCATTCCGGCGTAATCACATTTGTAGATTACAGTATTTGTGCATTCATGGGGGGGGGCTCCCCACATTGGTGGGAAGGCTCTAAATCTCAATGCACACCTCCTCTGGCATTGAACACCACCGGCCATGTTATAGTGTGAAGTCATGATTGGGTCTACACACTTCACTATCACCACCCCAGCCAGCTCATCACCACCTGGTACTCCATAGGAAGTGTGGGGAAGAAAGAGGTGGGTCATGGGAAGATGCTGAGGACCGAGCTAGAGTGTCCTCACAGGGATAAAGTCAAGGTTCACTGTGTGGGCCCTCCTGACACTGAGAAAATACAGGTACACAATCATCACTCACTGGATTCAGGTTCCGTGTTTCATTAAAAGGCTTTGTTGCAGCTTCATAGCATCCATCTGTGGAGCCTTTCTGCCTGGCCAACGGTGCTTTCAACCCACTCTTCTGTGTTTTCCTACTAGCAGATAGGAATGCCTACTAGGGATATGGTAGGTTTGGGGACCACACTAAGGAGTAGGAACCCAGACCCTGCACCATAGCCAGTTCTAACCAAGTACAGTCTCCTTGGAGACAACTGCTTCAGAGTGTAATACCAAAGCCAGAAGGAACTCTGCCACAGACCCGGAGACTCAGATCTGACACATTCCCTCATTTCAAACACACATATATATGCAAAGTAAGAATTTTAAGAGAAGAGATTTGAATGTGAGCTAATGTCACGTTGAAGGCCAAGAAACGGACAGAGAGATTGTACAGAAAGGAGAACCAGGCTGCATGATGATCACACCATCATGCTGGTGTCACAGCTTACAGCGTGGATTGAGGAAAGCTACTGTTTACTCTGAGAACAGTGCTCCAAGGAGGGTGGGTAGGTGAGTTTTATGGTCAGCCCTGAATTTTAGACACAGGAGGGACTGCGTAATTTACCTTGGCCCTTGTGTTCAGATTATGCTAACAGGAAGTCTTGGCATATGGTTCAACGCAGGCGCAGGCCATGGGTAGAAGGTGAGCATGTGAGTCTTTGTGCTTGGTGTCACCTCACGGCTGACAAAGTTTACCTTGGTGTAGATGTGATGGCCCTTCCATGTCCAAACAGCCTTTAGGTTTTCAGGCCAAGTTTTATTTCTTAGAGATCCCATGAACACTGACTGATCAGCACCTCCCCCTTTCTCTTTCTCTCTGTCTCTCTTTCTTTGCCTCTCTCTGCGTCTTTTCACTTACTAGAGAAAAATCACTTCACTCCAACTTGAATACAAAAGGGGAGCTGTATAACCTAAGAAACAAGCTGTGGCTGGGCAGAGCAGCAACGGTGCCATGAGCCAGACTCTGGGGCATTCTGAATCTGGGTGACTGCAAGTCTCCTTGCCCCAGCCTCTTCATCTTCCCATGTTCAAGGAGTCTGTTCCGGGTCTGCAGAGGAACCTCACCTCCTTTTTCCTTATAAGATGGAGATGGGAGAGAAGGGTCGGGTTGAGGTCAGAATTCTTCCCATGCAAACAAATGTGACATGCGTCTCTGAGCCATTCCCATGTCACTATCCTTGGTTAACTCCCATACATGTTCCATTTTGGGCCTCTTTTGAGCTATAAAGGGGGTTCTCCACAAGAGAAAGTGACCTTCCAGGTTGGGGGGCAGTAACTTGTATGCATCCTGGCATGTCTGCTTGTATTCTTGCTGTGTTCATGAAGCTCTTGTCTGGGTGTACTGTGTGGTCCTGGGGACAGGGACATTAAGTCCCTGCCAGTAGTGGCATCATGCTCTGGGTGAGCCACATGGGCCACGGTCATTACAGAGCTTGCGTGGAGACATTCAAGCTCAGTTTGCTAACTCTTCCAGCTCATTCCACAGACTTCCAAGATCCTCTGTGTTTTCTCAAAAGTTTCCTCTGAAGACAGCACACCCAAGCCTACATTTTGGCCAATTTGCTAATGATAGCATCTGGAGGCCGCCTTAATGAAGGCTTCATTTCTGCTCAGCTAGGACAATGACACTGATGAGTCTTAATGCTGGCTTCCTCTTGCATTCCAGCCACAGCTGCGCCACCAGTCTGCAGCCAGCCTCTGCCTCGATGAGAACCGGGGCTTTTCATTTCATTTTAACTTTTGTTGACAACACGGAGGGCTCATCATTCTATTTTGGACTGAAGATTAAGTCTCAGCAGAAGCTGCCCTGAAGTCTGCAGAATCTTTACCACTAGTTCAATGTCACTTGAATCAGGCTAAGAGGAAAACTCAAAGGCCCTGATGAGGCCACTCCACTTGGCTGAAGATGACAAGAAGAGGCACTCTCTCACAGCAGGTGGCATCCATCCCTGACAGAGGAGTGTCTGAATTCCAACCCACACATGTTAGGGTTGCCTCTGGTCTTGCTTCCCAGCTTTGAGGGTACATGGGTCTAATGCAGGCAGCCATGACCGGACTGTGCCTTCAAACAGGCCTCTAGAAAAGCTCTAACTAAAATCAACACATACTTAATTTTGAATTTCTCTGGACAGAAAAAAGAGAGAGGGAGGGAGAGAAGGTGGAAATGCTGAAGTTAAAAAGGCAGACTTTGTTATTTAAATGTCTGAAAGCTTGAAGAAGAGATTATGTGTCTTCAGTTAAACTTGAACAGTATTCACTTGAAGAATGACATTAATTATGTTTTATATAACATGCTTTAAATCAAAGTTCCAGGTACATGAAGTGTTAAGTCCTTTGTACTACCTCATTATTTAATAGGGTTTTATATCAAAATGCTTTGAAGACATGCCTATCATGTTTGTGTAGAAAGTACCTGATCACAGCCAGGGCAAAGGTCATTTCACAAACTCAGGAAGTGTGGCTGAGCAAATGGAGTCACTGCTACTCCGAATCATGCCATACGACAGTATCAGGGACCAGAGTGAGGGCTACCGAAACGGACCTTGCTCTTTGTCTGAGTTAGGAGTGGACCTAACACCATTCCCATTAGCAGGTCTGCCTCAGTTGGGGTTTCTATTTTTGTGATAAAACACCAGGACTAAACGCAACTTGAGGAGGAAAGGGTTCATTTCACCTCATGTGTCTTGATCACAGTGCACCATGAAGAGAAGTCAGGGCAAGAAATCGAGCAGAGCAGGAACCTGGAGGCAGGAACTGAAGTCTCACTGCTTACTGGCTTGCTCCTCATGGCTTGCTCAGCCTGCTTTCTTAGAGAACCCAGGAAGGTTAGCCCAGGGGTAGTGCCACCCAAAGTGACCTAGACACTCCCCTATCCACCATTCATCAAGAAAATGTGCCTTAGGTCTGCTCACAGGTCAACCTGGTGGGAACATTTTCTCCATTAAGGTTCTCTCTTCCAAAATAACTCTAACTTGTGTCAAGGAGACATGACTCTAGCCAGTATAAGGTCCTTGGAAGACTACTCGACAATGTACAAGGCCTCAGGTAACATGCCATCTCAGGGGATGGTGGAAGAGCATCAGAACAAGTATGGATAACCCACTCAGTGTCAGTTGAATGCTATCGCCATTGGATGAATCTTGTCTCCTATTCCTGCTTGCATGAAGGAGGGCCAGGGAAAATTCCTTTAATGGCTACAAGGGAGAACCTGAGATATGTTCAGGGATAAGAGTCACTAGCCATCCAGAAAGGCTTCACTTTCTCTAGACCACCCCTGCTTTGAGCATATTGTAGCAATAACCTCAAGCTGGCTGGAGGCCCTGAGGTCTCTAGTCCATTCCAGATCCTCTCTGTAATACTGGCCTTATGCAGAAAAGCCACCGCATGCTTATTTTATTACTGTGGTGGTTTGAAAGAAAACATCCCCCATAGGGAGTGGCACTATTAGGAGGGTGTGGCTTTGTTGGAATAGATGTGAGCTTGTTGGAGGAAGTATGTCATTGTGGGGGTGGGCTTTGAGGTCTACTGTACTCAAGCTATGCTCAGTGTGACACACAGACTCCTGCTGCCACCTGCAGATCAAGATGTAGAACTCTCAGCTCCTTCTCCAGCACCAAGTCTGTCTGCAGGCTGCCATGCTCCCTACCATGACGGTAACGGACTAAACATCTGAAACTGA